CTTTGCTCCACTGCACTAAAGGAGTTCCACAAAGCCAAGCAGGGAATGTTTTTAGTAAAAATGAAATCTAGAAAAGAAAGAACTGGGGATATAAACAGACAAAAATTGGTAAGTGATGTTATTAGGAGGAAAGAGTACTGGGATACAGAGGGACAAATTATGTATGGGTGATAAAATCATCTGTAAACAGAATCAATAACAAAGAAAATAAATTAATCATAGGTAGAAATTATTACAAACAAATCATATAGATGTCAAAAATCATGAAATTAGCTGGGTGCCGTAGTGCACGCCTATAATCCCAGTGACTCAGGAGACTGAGATAGGAAATCCAGAGTTCAAAGCCAGCCTCAGCCAAAGCAAGGCACACCAGTGATTGAACACAGGGGCACTCAACTACTGAGCCACTTTCTTAGCCCTAGTTTGTATTTTATTTTGAGAGAGAATCTCACTGAGCTATTTGGCACCCTTATGATCCTCCTGTCTCAGCTTCCCAAGCTGCTGCGATCACAAGCATGTGCCATTGCTTCTGGTGAGACTCTGTCTCTAAATAAAATACAAAATAGGTGGCTCAGTAGTCAAGTGCCCCTGAGTTCAATCCCCAATACATCGCCTCAAAAAAAATCATGAAATTAAAACTCAAGGGAAAAATGAAAACATATTTAAATATACATAACCAAAAATCATCAATGCTTTCTCAATTTTGTAAGTTAATACATTAATAAAATTCTTAGGTACATATTTCCAAAAAATATGCAAAAACAGTTTCAAAACATAACCAGCAGTTTCCAAATTTTTGAAATCATACTTATTTTTAAAATTAGAAAAATCACTATTAGTGACAAGTGAATATGATATTTTCAAATTAATCTAACTTCTAAATAGCTAAGAATTCAGAAGTATCTGAAAAAGAAAACTATAACTCTACTGTAGTTTCTCTGTAACATTAAAGTACATATTTTTATACTTTCCCCATAATATAGCACATGCTTGATATCTGCAATTAAACCAAATTTTTAAAATATATGTATCTTAATTGATGTGTTGTTTGTTTCTCACATAAATATAATAAACAGTTGGGAAATAATTCTTTACAGATACCTGAGATCTATAGTGTCAAAGTATACCATCTGTTTTACCTTAATTGTAGTGATTAAGAAAATACTCACAAAACATTTAATAGCTATTTATTAATGTAGTCATACGTAACATTCAGATGTTTSTAAACAAAATGTAAAAAAAAAAATAAAAGGCAATTTTTAGAGATGACTGGAAAGAGCAAATTGAGAACTTGGTATCTGTGGGAAGAGGTATGATATAAAAAAAATGTCCTTCCTCCCCTTTTTTCTCCTCTGCATAGGTGTCTTCAAGTAAATTAATACTCAAGACTAGCCACTGGAGTGTGATTTGGAAAATTGTGTCAGGGAGAACAAATGCCTTTTAAATGGCACCCAAAGGGCTCCAAAGAATTAATGAACCTTATATTCTCCATGAACCAGATTCATTTTAAAGACACCCTTTCACAGATGAGGTGTGTAGCTAATTATATTTGCACATTTAGCTAGCTGCTTAGCCATGCACAATGAGTGATATTATGAGCAGTGAGTCACCAACCACACCACCATATGGACATAATTTTCAGAATATTGTATAGCTTTTCAAGAGTTTATGACAGTAGGATTTCATTGTAGAATAAAAAAAATGCTTTTTGTAAAGTTGTTTCTTTAAAATTTTAAAAAGAAACTGTAAGCATCTTTTTGTAAAGTGGTGTTAATTATTTTAAGGTATCCTTTTATAATGGGTTAAATTAAAATTTTAATGAGTTTAACAGCATAAATCATCTACTTTATACACGCAATCCTCTGCAGAAGCTTCACAGAGAGATCAGTGGAACTTTGGGGCATCATTACAAAGAAGAAATAAAAAATGACAAGATAATACATTTTAATCACCAAAGTATAAAGCAGGTAAAACATATATTTTATAATCATTTGATGTTAAGTCATACTTGATAGGTAAAAATTATCAGAACCTAACAATGTTTTCTCTGTGCATTTATGCTATATTGAAATAGCCAAAGAATTTTTTATGTCTGTTGATTAGTTCATATGGCATTGTCTTTTTTCTTTCAGTGCTGGAGATCAAACCTAGGGCCACATCACCCCCTCTACTCGATGAGTCTCAGCTCCAAACCTATGTGGTAAAATTTAGTGTTCACTTTATTCATGTATTATAATTTTCATTAACTGATAGAATGTTAACATTCAACCAGCAAACAAAAATTGTAGACTAATTTATTATCACAAATAATTAGGATATGAATAAAGTCCAAAGGCTAAAATCAGTCTAAGTGAGTAATGTCTTAGGGCTAGTATAAGGGACAAAAGCACACAATATTATCATAAAAAGAATGTGTAATGATCTGAAATATTTTAAAATAAAAAATTCATTTTTCAGTAACATAGATATTGATATTTCTATTAGATCTCTTAGACACTTATACAAAACATGAGGAATTCCTTCTTTATTTTAAATCAGTGGTTCTCTTGCTAGTGGTTTCTTACTAGCTCATATAATATTATTGAAAATTTAACACAATTTTATTTTGAAAAAAATAAAAATTGAATAATTTTAGAAAATACTTTGTAATATTTTTGATACTTGTGTGAGCATAGTTGTGCATGCCATGCACATTTGTGTTAATAAGTGCAAAAATATATGCTAGTTAGTACTCTCCAAAGAGTATAAGTCATGCTTAATTAAATGGAAGAAGGTCAAGGAGGTCTCCAAGAGGTATGGTTTTATCCAGATTCATAAACATGTGTGGGCTGGCTTGCTTTCTGTCCCCAGGACTGTTTTTCTATAGCTTTCAATCTTGGGCTTTCAGCATCTCTAGTCTCAGATCATATTCACTTTGATAATTCCCCAGAAGAAAAGAGAAAATATGTATATGTGTCTTCTTCTAAACAATTAGAGTTGTGTGATTAATTTTAAAGTTGGGGACCAAGTTAATCATCACTAATACATGGATAGAAAGTGAGAAGGCATAGTCTTTCACAGGAAAATTTAGATTATATTTCCCCCAACACAGCAAATGCACACTGAAGGGAAAAATATTTCCACTCATCATTATGAGACAGTACAAATAATATAAAGATTGCAATGTATCCCATCATCACGATATTTGATGGACCCATTTAACAGGTTGTGTACTTTGAGGTCTGTTCTTTTTATGTCCTTTTCTTTGGCATCCTGGGTCTCTGCTATCTATCTGTCCTTTCTTATTATAGTATGCAGATTGATGTTGAGTGCTATTGAATATTTTGTTATTTATTCAATTATTGATGATTGGTCAAAGATTAGTCAATAATTACAGGAAATAGTTATTTTTTTCTACAGTTTAGCATTCAGAAAATGTTTTTGTATACATGAGTTCATTTGGTCCTTCCAGAGAAGAATTTTTAAGTAAGAAAACTAAATTTAGACAGATTAAGCAAAATGGCCATTTTAGAGATATTAGAAATGGATAAAAAGATAGAGTGGAGACTTAAAACTTTCTGTTAACTATCATAAATAGGAAGTTTTGTTGTTATTCTTCTTGTGCTGGCAATCAATCCCAGGGTCTCTTGAATACTAGGCAAACACTCTACCAGTGAGCTATATCCCTGGACTAATAAAGTCAAAGTTTACCAATAACTTCTTAATGATAATTTTATAATCTTTGTATTACAGGAAAAATTCTAATTACATCATTTGGTACTGGTAAAAATTATTTCCAGCAATTTGATAAATTTCATTCTTATTTAATCATTAGTTCTTAAATAAGAATCATTGTAAGTGAGGTGTCATTAAAATATTGAAGAAACACAAATTTGAGATAATATTCTAGATGAAAACACATTTCAAGTTTATGACCACACCATCACACAAGTACTGTAAAGAAACATGTCCTTAAAGTTTGCATGAAGGTTCTGATAGCAAAGTAAACAGTAATGTTAAAGGGCAAGCCATGAATCTGGTTCTCTCACATTTGATAATTCCACTATGTTGTTCAAAGGTTTATTGGGGAAGTTTAGAATCATTCAAGTGGATAATTGAGTTTGAAGAAACAGAAATGGTACAATTGTTATTAATTAAAGTCCTTCCCACACCCCTATGGTGTTCTCAAAAAGATAACATCCCCATCCCAAAGCAGCTATTTCTATTTATTGTTTTTTCAAATATTTTCTTCCAAAATATAGAAAATAAACCATTATTTATTGTCTTTATAAAATCAATCCACAACTTACAGGTATCATATAGTTCAAGCCCTGCCTTTATCTCCACATTAAGGACAACATAAACTAATACTCTTCCCCGGAAAAACAAACAAACAAACAAATAAATGAGTGTGGCTTATTTGAAAACAATGGAGCATTAAAAAATTGTTAAACTTTAAAGAAGCATAGAATTTTTATCTTATTTTGGAAACTTTAACCATTAAGCAGAACACCAGCTTGTATTTAAATACTTTAGATGCTTACGTAGATTCAGATGCAAACTCAATATACTGTGCTATATTCGGAAGATCAGATTGATAAAGATGTATGTGTACTGCTTTTGGATGTCACTTTTCCCCCAAGGACTTATGTGTTGATTCATGTGTTTGGTTGGCTGTGTGAAGTTAGGAGGTGATGGGACCTTTAAGAGGTGGGGCCCTGTGGAGGGTTGTTAGGAGTTCTGCCCACCTGAGGCCTTCTTAGGAAAGAAGCAAGGCTTGGACCCCCATACCCTGCCCCCCGGACCCCCACCCCTTTCTCTTACTTGCTGTTTTCCAAGTGATCTGTCCTATTGTAAGCATCCCTGCCATTATGATGTCATCTGCCATAGGGTGACACAGGCGAGGATCACTTCACCAAAGCTGGCACCAAACCTTTGGGACTTTGCCTCCAAAACCATGAGCCAGTGGTCCCCTGAGCAGCGCTGTCCTTAACACCCGGCTCTCCTGGCCTGCTGACAACATGTTCCAGTTCCTGCTTGGATTTACTTTTGGCAACGTCCTTGGGATGTATCTGGCTCAGAATTATCAGATGCCAGATGTGGCTAAAAAACTTGAAGACATTAAAAAAGGCTGGGAAATCAAGAAGTAACCACCTACTTCCTGAGGCTGGCTCCAGCTCTGCGTTCTGGAAACATGAATTCCACCCTCTTGTAAGACCTTGCAGACCACCTGATCCCAAAGCTTTTGGATTCATCTCCGGCCTCTGCAGTTTTCTTCTTTTCTAGACTTTGTTGTCTCAGAGCAAAAGTGGGACCACAAGTTAAGAACTATCCCTTACATTTCCAATGGACTCACCTCTTTCCATTCTCTTCCTTCCAGACTGGAACTATGGTGCTAGATTAGTAAAACATTGACCTTCATTAGTAGTTTCTCCCCTGTTCTTTGGAATTTTTGCTACCTTATGTCAAAAGGAAAATTGGTGTATTTTGTAGAATGGATCAGATATAAATAATGTTGACTTCACAGTTTAGCAATTAAAATAGGTGCTTAATAAGCATTTGATAATTTTTTGTTTGTTTCAATGAAATTAAAATTAACTCTAGAAGCCAGTTTCTGGTGAATTATCCATTTGTTTTGTACTATTGTCAAGCAGCTCCATAGTTGATAATTTAACCAATAAATCAATTTATATTTATTAACTAAGAAACTATAAGAACATTTTGAGGAACTGGGGACTGTAATTATGTGCAAGGTAATTTTTTTTTGTTATAGTAGTTCACCATCTATTTAGTATGCATATTTTTCTTTTTTAAAAGATGTATTTATTTTAGTTGTAAATGGACATTTATTTTATTTATATGAGGTACTGAGACTCAAACCCAGGGCCTCTCACATGCTAGTCAAGTGCTCTACCACTGAGCCACAACCCCAGCCCCAGAGTATGCATATTTTTCTTAAGTGGTATATTGGATCTGACTCTTCCCTCAAAAGATTCTTCTTAGAATTACATATGAACTTGACATTTCGTGATGCATAGGGAGAAGTTGTTGATAAAGGAAATGTTATTAGTTTTTATATCAAATAGTGTATTTATATTATAATTTTATAGCGATTCTCCTAAGTGTACAATCCTAATTCACAATCAGTATGTCAAGAGGGGATTCTTCTTTCCACAGTTGATTTTTCTTTCTTCTGCAATCAGAAATTACTGCTGTAGTTTGCAAAACATATAATGTGTATCCTGCCCTCTTTTATTGTGGGAGATGGAATTTCACTATTTTGCCCAGGCTACCAAGGTGGAACTCCTAGGCTCAAGTGATTCTCCTGCCTCAGCCTCCTGAGTGCTGAGACTATAGGTGCATGCCACTTTCCTGGCTAGTCTCTCTCTCTCTCTCTCTCTCTCTCTCTCTCTCTATATATATATATATATATATANTATATATATATATAAAGAGAGAGAATATAAAATTATATATATATATATAATTTTATATTCTCTCTCTTTATATATATATATATATATATATATAATTTTTTTACTAAAAATCTTTTAATAGGTAACTTTTCCCATGGGTGAAGATATAAAAGTGATTTCTATTAAAAAGCCTGTCCCACCCATCCTCCTGCTCCCAGCCTCTCTTCTTCAGGCAGTCACTGTTACTGATTCCCTGTGTGCTTTTCAGAAAGAGTCTATGCCTGAACATATATGCATATTGTTTGGGGTTATTTTTTTGTACACAAATGGTAACAAACTATACATAAAGGTGTGCCCCTTGCCCTTTTTTTGTTGTTATTCTTTTTATTTCTTCCATACATGACAATAGTGGAATGCATGACAATCATCTCATTCTATATCAGTGTGTAAGTAACAAGACACTTAATTATTTTCTGGTTTCAAGAGATTATGCTGAATGGATACACTGATTCATTTAATCTTTTGTTGATAAATCTTTAGGTTGTTCTTTTGCTATTACACTACAAAAATTGAACCTAATATTAGTATACATATCTATGTAGGCTATAGTTATAAGATGGAGTCCTAAAAGTATAGTTTGCACAAATATAGATAAATACCATGTTATTAGGTGTTGTGATTCAGAGGGCTTCTTAGAAAACTTTGCCAACACCTATCTTAAGAATCAACAAATTAGAAAAATTATTTAGAGACAGTTTTTTTTTTTTTTTAAGACAGCACTGACACTGGAACCTATATGGGATTCTAAAATAGTTACTCTGCATTTCTATGAAAATATGAACATTTCATACATGGAGATAGATTTTATGCCTGTAGAGTCATTTTGAGGAGACAAGTCAGGATCAAATTTTGGTTTGGCTTCTACCTAGCAAAGGGAAGTAGTTTATTCTTTTTGAAACTCTTGCATTTTCTGTAGGTAATGGATGTAATACCTAACTACTTCATAGGACTTTTATGAAAAATAAGTGAGATAATGTACATGATGTGTTACTTCGTGCTTTGCAAATTGTTCAATAAATAGTAGATATCAGTTTTAAAAATGAGTGAAATAAGCCACTTTTCTTTAAAAGTAGGTAGTTTGTTATAGTAATATAAAATATTCTATGATGCACAAATACATACTTGTAAATCACTGATAGATATTTTAAATTTCATAACAAATAATACTGATATTACCTCTAGCCAATTTCAAAACCTGACATTATTAAACATAGCCCAATGAAATGTTTATAGCTTAATTATTCTTAAATTGCACCTAGAAGAGTTTCCATTATCTGATGCATAGGTTCTTGGATCTACTCTGTCCAGGTCATTTAAGATTCTCTTGTTAAATGAATTACTCCATATTCTTCAGCAAATTTATTTTCCATTTATATTATCCAGCTGTTTTCAAATATGCTACAGAAGGATTTTATATACTTCCTTTATCAGTAGCAAATTTTAAGGCTATATATTTTTTTTAAATGTTCACTTTTTTCTTGCTCAGTCTGATTATTCCTTTTGATTCAATTATACCATGTGTTCCCATTTTCTATTGAAACAATTACTCAGTGCTTAAATTGTTGGGTAAATCTTTTTTTTTTTTTGAAATTAAAAGCATGGTTTTATTTTCATATTAGGAAATTATAAGTGAAACAATATTGCTTCAAATATCACTGTAACATGGGGAGCAACCCAAAAAGTCTACAACTAAGTGCACAAATTAAAATGAAGCAAACCAAAGAATAATTAATAAATATAGAGCAAGAACTGCAACAACAAAAACTATAACCCTATCATAACCATTGTATTATGAAGAATGAATGAAAAATTACTGTTTCCAAAAAGGTATCCAAAACTGGATCTTCTTTTGTTCACACACTATGAGCTTTGCTATTTAGGCAGCCATTGCTTGTCATGTGCTTTATGATAATTTTTGGAATACTAAATAGGCATTTCCAAGGTATTATAAGGGTAATATTATTTTATGAATATCAATTTTCAGTTTACTTATTTGATTACTAGGATATTTCTCCTATTCATCCACAAACATGAAAATCAGTGAGTTCGGAATTTATTTTCCATTGGGAATAGAAAAGAGAAATATTTTAAGAACTTTTTCCATTAAGAAAACTTCACATGGAGGTTGCTGAAAATTCTTGAAAGTGTGTGTCTTGCTCACTTAATTAAGTTTACTCATTTTCGAATCAAAATATGTTTCTTAACTGTCCTTTTTGTGCATAGTAGGTCTGTTTAACATAACTGGAAGACTTTCAAGTCAGTTGAGTCTTGGATTTCCAAACCAAGAATATAATAATAAAAAAAGAATATAATAATAAAAAAAGGAAAAATTGATTTATATGTACAATTAGTTTCTTCAGTGAAAAACTTTATCACCTTAAATGTAACTGTACACTAACTTACATCATATTGTATATGAAGGAAATATCGACATACAATATCAGTTGAATCCATCAAATTCCTATGTGGCATCAGAGATATTTTTCCACCAGCATTTCATGAGTGATGATTGTATTGAAGTTCAAACAGAATAGCTCAGGGTCATACCACTAATAAACAGTGAAGCAAAAATATGAGTAATAGTTTTCTAAAAGCTCTGTGTCCTTACACATTTCATGTTATGTGAGCTAGGTAACCTTCATAGAAAGTTACCATACGCTTACAAAAGTACAAAGAAGTGATGAGTAGCATAAGTAATAACAGCAGAATCAATAAGTTAAAAAAGAAAATGACACTCAGATGGAGGGACATTGAAACCTATCTTTATGTAGTTTATAATTTTGCCAAGGTCAAACTTGCCTCAATGCCTTTGTATATACTCTTTTCAAATTTGGTTTTAATCAGCCTGGAGGATCAAAGGTGATTCAAAGAGATCATATGATTAACCAGCCCAGGCTTTGGGGGAAGGAAGCATTAGGAAAGCATTTTAATAGTGGGCTTGATAAAAGGAAGGTCATCAAAGTACATTTATATTTGAACATTAAAAAGCACTTCTTTGAAGTGCTTCCTGATGAGATTCCACTTAGTTAAATATTCCACCAAAATGCTCTCATCATTATATCCAGATAGGGGGAGAGATGGTGGACTGGTATAAAGTTCCTGAAAAAATAGAGCTATAGTCTTCTCATATTGAGAGCCATTTATGTTTTTTACCTTTTATTACACAGTTTATATGTCGGCTTTCTCTCTATAAACAATGATAATTTTTATCTACCCCTTGATCTTTATGGAATTTCATGCTCCTTTAAATTAAGCTAATGCATCAGAAATGTATATATTCACCAGTGCACAAATTGTGTTTTGATTGATTTAAATGGTGCATTTAAATTTATTGATTGGGTCATAAAACAACCACTCTGCTAATTGAGATAAAACTTATCTTCTAATGAATATTTCCTCTTAGAGGAGATATGCTTCACACAATAATGATTAGTGGGTTTTCTGTTGAAAACAACCAGATTGATTTCATTTTAACACACTTCTTCATAAAATGTTTTTGCAATTATTTATTCAACTTCCCCTTTGCCAACACTTCACATTATGATATGGATTAATCAAAACCTTTTGTGTAGTTAGTCCTGACATAGGCTTTACTGGTAATCTTGCCCCTTAAATGGATGATTATCAGGAATCTTAAATCACTCTATCACTTTTTCAGTACTTCAGTATCATTC